AGTTCCTTGAATATATAGTTGTCCAGATTTTTCGCTATGTAATAGAGAAACAACCAGTCGCCGAAATAGTACTCGTGAGTGACCTTGAGTACGTTCCATGGATTGTATTTTCCAGGGCATGCCATGGAAAACACAAACTTGTTGAATGACGTACTTCTGTAAGTGAAAAAATCGCAATGAAAGTCGCTCGCCTGCGGCATCACAGTCGTGGTTTATGTCATCATTTTTATATCAAAGAATCCTTATCGCGGTACATTAACGTCACTGCTAGTTCCTGTATACTTTTTTACATTTCGTTATTTATATGGTATTTTTAAGTGGGCATTTTCTTAGATTTCGCTGATGTATATCCGTTGAAATTTGTACACACGCCTCTATATTATGAAATAATATTTTAGCATATATTTTTACGGAATAATATTATGAACTTTACGTTAAATTTACAGCGGATATATCGTTAAATAGTAATATTATTGCTTCGATAAATAAAAATAGAAATAGTTTTTTCCAGATAAGATATGAATATTTTACACAGAAAGAGAGAACGATTTTATTGAAGCAAAAATTTAGATACAGATCTAAAAATAATTTGATTAAATTATTTTGATAATCTAATAAAATTATTTTCAGATTTGTATCTAACTAAATTTTTAGATATTTCAGCAAAATTATTCTTTTTCCAGTAATCCTATATATATGACATCAGTGTTATACTTTCACACTCAACAGTCTAACCGTCATATAACATATGTTATATTACATTTATATTGTCGAATGTGAAATTATAATATTAATGTTCTGTTACTGATAATTGGTGTTTACTGGACACGTTGAGAAAACCGTCATGAAATTACTTTTGCAAATTATGTATATGATGTATGATAATTGTAAGTTCGTCAAACGAGAATTCTCAGGAAAGAAACCAGTGAGCGAGTGCTATGACGAGAATTTATAAAGCCACAAAACGTAACATGCTGACGATGGAAAAATACGTAGAGATAAAATTTAGTAACCTTGCGTGAAGGACCATAGTCAGTATTCTCCAAACCAATCCCAAACCGGTTAGCACCGCCAGCACGACGAACCAGAACCAAAGGACCGTATAGATCTTTTCGTTAACGATGTTCAGTGCCATCACACACAACGCGTCGTGCTTTTGTATGTCACCAGAAGGACCGTACTTATGAAAAATGCATTTAGTTACCTAAGAACATAATTGTATATTCATGAATGCCACTGTATTGATTAAGTAAAAAATATTGACATTGTTCAAGATTAAAATTTGTAATTAATAATTAAAGTTGACAAAACTGTAAATACTAATAAAAATTTACAATCGAAGAATTAATTTTAAAGGACGGAAGAATGAAGAGTTGAATTTTATTAATTTTGATAATCGATGAAGTAGTTTATAAAAATTTTACGTTTAAAAATCGGATTTCAAAACGTATAAGATTGCATTATAAAAGATTAATAATAATATTAGATTGACGGTCAATAATTCAATGAATTTACAGTTCAAATAATAATCTGATATTAACAATGTAAACTATAATAATAATTATATAATATCATGATATAATAATCTAATCTATGTAGTATCGATTACTACTAGAAATGACGACATCGACTTTAATCATAATATTGTATAGAATACAAAAATAACAACAAGTTAAAATGATACCTTTGGAAATATTATATCAAGTGGATTCATTTTCTCCATAGACGGAGGCTCCGAGATCGCTTGACCAAGACCGAGGAAAGCTCCTCCGAGGAACCAGTCGGTCAAGTAAATTTGCATGATCACATTTATGAAATTCATAATCTCGCAAAGAGTCAGACTGTATGCCCATGGACGATTCAAATGCAGGCGGTTTATGAAGCCAATGCGAATCTGTTGTATCTTCTCATCGCGTTCTTTTTTCGATGGCACCTTCATATTATCGTTCACCTTAATCTCCGTTTCGTTTAATGACAAAGATGCCATGTGTAATCCTGATACTAGCATACTTAACCGGCCGCCTAGAATTTAAAAAAATTACGACAATCTACAGTTTTCGCAATACTGCCTGTAACAGTTCTCATTTTTGGATGTAAATATTCCCGAGTACGATAATACGTTCTCTTTAAATTCTTTGGAGCGAATCTCACTCCAAAACAGTGAAAATTCTGCCTCTCTTTTCAAGATAATATCAATGAATAGTGATATAATCTCTTTTCAAAAGATTAAATTGCTAGAGAGAATTTTAATTCTTTAAGCGTAAGAGTTCATTCTTTTGAGATGAGATTAACTTCAAATTTAGAATGTTGATTCAAATGGTTTGAATACTCAAATAACAAAAAATATTTGAACGTCTTTATTGTGTGGATTACGAACATAATGTATACTTAACTATTTTCTGGCATTACATAAAAATAATTTTACGATTAGCGTAATGTTACATTGTAAGTGGGACACGTGTTATATGACTAGATTATGACGGCGAGAAAAGATTAATGATGATTAGCTCGCCGCTTGAAATAAATGCGCTCGTAAACGTCGCGCGATACGTGGACGAGTACGCGAGATATGAATTGGTAACGACCTTCCGTTTTTCGCCATAGGTAGTGCGGCAAGTAAAAGAGGATTGCCTGGAAGAACAGAATAAAGGGCACCCATTGATAATAAGCATGGTGTATGACAGGGTCGTTTTTAGCAGCTGGTCCAATGCCAGGATGTGGTAATTCGCCCTCTTGCACCGCGGTAGCATTCAGATGCTTCACCTGAACAGTTGAAAATCAGCTGATAATAAGGAGTGTCTGCGGGAAATAATAATGGGTACCATTTGGTGACATAAGTCGACACAAGTGTCGTTCTGGCTTTGTTATTCGAATGTCCAGAAAGGTAAAACGACGTTTGTGTCGATTTGTATTACTTACTAAATGGAAAGCACCTAATTATATTTAGGTTTTTAACATAGTTTTCCAAAAAATAGTTTGGCAAGAAAAAAGGACTTTACAATGTCAATAATTCCCTAGACAACTTTATTTGGATTATTGATATCCATACTTATTGTGCGTAAAATAGCAAACACGTGTAATCGCGCGATAAATTCATATTGTTAACAATAAAAAAGTCACTGTATTGAAATGATGTAGAATCAGTAAAGTTGCATCATTTAAAAATACAAAAGAGATTTACAGATTCATAAAACTGAAAATCGAAGAAAATAAATAAGAGTTGAGCAGGTTTTTCTTGCTAAAAATATTAGTGTATTAAATACATCTTGTTAAAAAATTAATAAGAAGTTCTCATCAAACTATAAAATTACAAATAAATGTTGTTATATTCATCGATTGTCTTTTTTATTTTTGAATAATAAATTATATAATGATCAGGACATTATTCATATATAATTCATATATACGTGCATTGTACTACTATTTGTTGACACTGAGACGACATTTGGATTGGATTCATTTGATACGGTATGCTTATGATTACTTAAAAATTTATGTCGATATCATTGTAACGTCCATATTTATTTTAGTTTCATTATTCGACGAGCATTTAACACACTGAAGATGACTATAATAAAAGTCGAAATCTTGTCTGTGACTTCATAATATATGACTTTGTTCGTTAACTCTTAAACGCCCCATTACGGGAACAAACACACTAATGTATGGCATATCCTAGAAAGAAATGATTCATAAAAATAATGTCGAGCCGACGTCGGTAAGATGATTTCAACATCAATTCGACATTTAATAACGGACAGTTATTTTTTACTAAGACCACACTCAGTTCGATTGCATGTAACTTTTATAAAAATGAACATATTGCACAAAATTATTTTTTCAATCAAAACGCCAGATATTAAGAAACATAATGATGCAGTTATATGTATCTTTATTTAAATAAAAAAATTATTATGAAAAAAGCATTGGATAAAAAGTCGGGTATGCCATACCAGAAAGGCATTTAAGAGTCAACTTTTCAATCTATATTTAATACATAATATTTATTAGCACAACAAACTTGCTCGGTTCATCAACTCTTATTTATTTACTTTCTTTTACATCATTTATTTTTTCAACAGAATTTTAGACTTACCACGGTGTATGTGGACATGAAAAAACAAAATGTCTCGATAACCTTTGATGGTACACCTGTGTCGGCGATGCATCTTTTAAAAATAACATAAGAATTTATCTTAAGAAACGATATTAAACTGCTTAAATCCAACGTAATTATAAACAATTTAATATCAAAAATTGTACGATTACTACACATATACCTTATATGTTCTCCGATAAATTGTCTGGAGGTGACTAGAATAGATGCAACGAGAAGCAACAGAAACGTAGCCCTATAATGTAATCTGAAAACTAAGCACATCTATTCTTTTTTTTTTTTATTTACATTAAATATACATATTTAATTATAATATTGTATTTCGATATGAGTATTAAATATAAATGTACTTATTAAGTATACTTATATTTATACACATATTTTCTTATCTTTAGTTATTGTTAGATAATACAACATACAATATTTTTAAGTAGACACATTATGTAAAAGCGATGACTAATCGATAATTAAATTTGTGTAATAATTAATGACGCAATGTAAATTCTTCCAATCGTACATCAATTTCGGTCGTGTCAAATGTTAGAGATAATTATAACATAGAAAGTACATAGTATTAAAATGGAAATATTTTACCGATATTGTCAATGGCTATCGAATTTTGATTAACTTTGAATTTGACGTGATCCTTGAGGACCGAGAAGGCAGCGATCACGGTACCGGGTGCCATGTCTATCGATTTTTCACGATTTGTCCAGAAGCGAAAAGTTAACGTTCCTGTTTGTGTCGGCCGAGCACAATAACTTGCAAAGTCAAGAATTCGCGTTCACCACTGATATATGAGCGCGAATTTTTCGTGTTCAGTAAACGTCGCGATTGTTGAGATATTCGTGAGACTTCGTTTTCGATCACAAAATGCGACACTGTACATACGGTACCGATCGAGAACATACTGAAAACTCGAAAGCTCAATTTCTTGTTATCAGAAACGAAGATTACGTAGCAACCTAGACGTTCCACAAAACTGGGTAGAGAGAGAGCCAGCGTTATTATTGTTAAGACGTTTCCATTCGTTCAGATAAGAATAGATAGCGCGCACAGTTGATGCGAGAAGACACACTTATAACTGCGAGTCGAAGAAGTAATGAGTATATAATCTGCAGTATTGATTCATGATTTTAACGACAATCCTCTTGCGGAGAGTGTGGATGATACATCGACCTATGACCCAGTTGACGTGAACCATTATCGCGAAAGAACCCTTAAGCATAGCTATGGATAATTGAACAATAAGTTTCAATAGGAAAAGTGTTTGTGAGGTGTAATATGTTGTCTCAAGGCGAACTCTTTTTGAAATTGAAAATGACATGAAGAAGGTTGTACAAAAGGAAATAAATCAGTAAACTATACAATTTTTATTAAATAATATTTATTCAGTTCAGAAGCAATATATTTTATTATTTATTAATATTTATTTAAAAATATATATTGTTTATTACTTGCTGATTTGATATTGAAATATTCTTAAATATTTATGAGATTATTTATGATGTGCTAAGAGAATTAATATCTCATAAATATGTAAAATCTATTTAATGATTTCTGAATCATCAGTTTTAAATTCTATAATATATAGCACCAAAAATAATTTTCGAATTATGCGATTTTTTAAATGAAAGGATATTTGTCAAATAATTATGACTCATGGAATCTCATTTGTGAAATATAGAGCAGTGAAATACCATATCATTTATATATAACATTTATTTTTAACAAAATTTGCAGAACTGAGATATAGAATTAATTATATATATCAAAATCTAAAAATTTGAAAATTAAATGATATGACGTTTCGTCATCCTATATAATTATATTACTTAATTTATTATTTATATTATTTATTTACAAACACATCATTCAGTATATATATATAATATATATAATATACACACACACACCACAAGCGGATATTTTATAATTATTCTCATGAAAAAAATTTTTATTATATATCTTTCTATAAAAGATTCATTATTTTTGTTTAAACAACGCATGAAAATATGATTGAACTATTATGGATGCTTACTCTCTTCTTGTATGAATTATTCTGTTCATCAGTATAATTAAAGGCGCATCTTACGCGTAATAGTTATTCTAAAAGGTTCCATAAACACGCTAGACGCAAAATATAGCGCCGTTAATATTCATTCGGCCTATAATGAGTTCTCGCAAGACAGCGAATCGCTCACAAATTACAGATAAGTGTCGACAGGAACGGATTCGCATCTTACAATATGACAGTCACATTTTAAAATATATGAGGTTGATGATTTCTTGAAACCGAAAAAGAAAATTCCGGTTTTCAATATAAAATTTATAAATATTTTTACAAATTTATCCCGTGAAATCTTTTGAAAGTCGAATTATCGATTAAAACTAATATTAAAATTTTACCGTATAGCGGCTCTTTTTGTATCATTTTTACTCATTAAAAGTTATTATAACGGGTCGCTCAACATTTTCGCTGTGACATGTAGAGACACATTTAGCGTAGCTATCGCTAAACAAGTCGCTAAACAAACTCGTTAAGCACACTTTCTCGTCAAGTGCTTTCAATTTGCGATAATTTGTACGGACATGTTAACTGTCGTCTCTTGACCCGTTACACAGAAAACGATAGCATTTCGCCGCATCATAACTGGCCAACGTTTTTTATGTAACCCTATCGTCGCAAAAAAGATAAATTTTCTCAGATCTACATTTTGATATCAAGTCTTCGAATATCCACGATGATAGAGAAATAAATTGCTCCAAGACCTCAGACGGAGAAAGAATTAATAAATCACACGTGAGATCAGTTGAACAATTTAACATATATAATACAATTGGTCAATTCTTTCTTCGTCTGAGATCTCGGAGCGATTTCTAGCATCGCGGACGCAAGAGGCTTTAGATGAACTAGACTAGACGCACAACTGTGCATTCTAAGCCTATCTGCTTTCTCCGTGCAGCTCCGCCCCTGGACGGATTCGGAATCGGGTGCCGTGTACGGCAAGCGAGCGCCGCACAGTTGGTCTCCATCGTCCAGCTTGGCTAGCGTGGCTCGCCGCTCGTACGCGCGGCACACAACGTAGACGTTGAACGTCGACGTGGACGGGACGGGCGAGGACAGGAACCCTTTCTTTCGAGGACTCGTTCGTTCTGCCGCCGGCTTGACTCGCCGCGGCCGGGGCCAATGCCCGGTCAAAGTCCCACCTTCGACGTTCGCCAGCTCTGCTCCCCTCGTTCTCCTCGCAACGGCCTCTTCGTACTCTTTGCCGGTGTAGCGGTCACCCTTGGCGGTCGTCCTCCCATAGCTTGCCGTCCCCTATAGCCCCTCGACGTCCGAACTTCTTACACGTCCGATGCTCGTGAAGGGGGGCCGTCAAATCGAAACGGAGCGCTCGCGCTCGCCGACTCGTCGCCGGTCATCTGATTGCCAGACTCGCTTGGGAACGTCATTCCAGAATAAATCCTACCTTGCTGATCGATCGACACTGATCGAATGTCGTAAATGATAAACGCGAGGCCGATTCATGATCACGCGGACGCGTTATCTTGAAGAAAATCGAAGCTCGCGACAAAAATATTCCTTTCCTCCGAAGAATGATAAGAATGACCACGCCATGAAATGATACTTGTGTACATTCCCGAATCATTCTCTAACGTAATATCTCTGTTTCAAAGTCAACATTCGAAATTTTCGGAACGAGACTAATGAATCAAGAGGTCTGTTTGCGTCGCTTGCACTTTTTGCACTCGGTATCTTTACTCTTCTCTCTCTTCAATGCCTGAACAAATAAATTTATCTCGTTTTAAGAGCAATTTTTGGAGATTTCAAGCAACACGAACGAACCTAAAGATTTACTTTGCAGCTACGTAGCTCACGAATGATACTTGGCTCTGAGAATGACAAGAATTCTAGCGTGACTATAAGTGCCACCGGATTAGCAACTGACACCTTGTACAAGCACAGAAATATGTAACGCATCCAATGGGCGTCGTGTACGACTCGAGTTACCTTTGTACACTCGCGTATCGTAGGTATATATATCGTTTCGTTCCTATGATTCGCTCGTTAATAGCTGGATTTGTAATTGGAGCTTGCTGGACATACCAGCTGAATAACATTCGTCAGCTGAGGTCAGGAATTAAAAGAAGCAACCCCACAATTTCAGTTTTAATTGATGGTCAACTGGATGGTTTAACTGGTGTGCTGCGACACATGTAACGCTACTTGTGGATTACTTGGTGAGAATCAATGATTTATTCCCGGAACAAATGGATTTGTTTTCGTAAATAAATAATTATCTCTTACGAGTTAAGTCTATTGATCAATGGCGCGTGTGTATAATGTTGTTCCGGGGCCATAAGTTAAAATCAGAATATCCCATGCGTTATATCTCCTTCGTCTTTATTCGGCCCCTTAATTAATACTTCGGATCGGCCGAGCGAGCAAGTCGCCAACAAGAGACGTCGAGCGAACGTACATTTAAGCCGCTTGAGATTAATTTATTAGACTATTTCTGTGCCACTGCTTCTCTTTGTCTCTCTGAATTTACATCTTCGTTGTTTACTCGCATCACGTTCCACCGCCGCGAGATATACGAGAATATATCAATTCGTTGGCAGTGGCGGATTTGCTCGGGGCCCCGAATAACGGTCCTCGAATCGCGATTGTAATTATTTTCTTTTTAATTTTATAATTGTTAGTTATATGAATGACATATTTGTATTGTATCCCCCTTAGAGCTGCCTTACTTCAAAAGTGACACAACTACAAAAAATTAAGTTTCTCAGAAAATTATTTAACTTGACAGAAAGTCAAGAAAATTATATAATTCATCAAATAATATCGGCAAAAAGAATATATATTCTTAACATAATCAAACATCATTTTTGTCACTTTCGTTTCATAATTCTTAAAAAAATCATTTTTTGAGTGTGATGATTTTTTAAAATTACCTTTTTCGATGTTTTGACGATTTTTCAATGAGGTTTATTAATTTTCGATGATTGATGAAATAATGTTTTATATCTAACTCATTCAAGATAACAATTTGAAAAAGAAGTTCTTGCAGTTGTATCACTTTTGAAGTAAGGAAGCGATATAATGTATAATATTTTATATATTTATATATGTATATATAGAACGCAATATTAATCTATTGTTTTATTAAATAGTGAGATATTTTGTATCTCTCTCTAACGTAAATCTTCTTTTACTTAAACTTGCTTAGAGCGTTACTAACAAGTTCTCTCTTTCTTCTTTCCTGTCTTTCCTCTTATTTAAACCTATTAGCAAGTTTTCCTTCTAAGGGAACTTAGAAGTTCTCCATTAAGGGAACGACGAGGGTTCTTCTAAGATAGAATTCTAAATTCTCTACTAGCGTCGCTAATCTTACTCACGTCTTCGAATATGAGCAAACTCGACTCACGTTCCTGCCCGATTCCTAAAATGCTGCTCATCTAGCCGGTCACGTTACACGTGCGATGTAACGTGATCGCCACCACTTTATTATTCCGATCTGGTCGTTAACGTCAGATTACTGTCTGCTTGCTATGGTATGCAAGTCAGCGCGACGAATCGTCACAGAGAGATGAACGTTTCCTTCGGGATAAATACAGTCCAGCGTGCGTGGAGTCGGGCTGCGTGTATTATACGAGCGCGTTATTGTGTAACGTAGCTCCCTAATTTGTTAGATGTCGTGTGAATGTCCTCTCATGAACGTCCGAAGTAATGCGTATGACGTCACACCGTATAATTGATACGTAAAGTCGCCAACGAGATGGCGTATTAAGATATCCACAATTACAGTGAATTCTGACCAAAAATTAAAATAAAAAAATTGGAACGATGTGACATAATGGATGTACTCCTGATAAAAATTTTTCTCATCATTTTTATATGAATTGGAACATTTTTCAAAAATACTCAGAAATATTCGGAAAGTTTACATCTCCTCTCAAAATTTTTCATACAAGTGAATTCTGAAATATTCTGAAATTTCTCATTCTATAATTTTTTAAAAATATTTTAAAATTTTTTAGATTTTATAACATTTCATCAGAAATTACACTTACAAAAAATCTTAGAAATCTTACGATATTTCATAATTAACATATATGAAAAATTTTGAGAAAAGATGTAGATTTTTTGAGAAGTGTTCCAATTTCGTACAAAAAATGTGAGAAAGTTATAAAATTATATAGAAATTCTGAAAAATTATAAGGTAACTCCGGTATATATGCCGCACCTATCAAAAAAACTTAATTTATTAAGTATTATTTACTATGTTTAAAATAAACGAACTATATCAGTAAAAACTTTGTACTCTCTACTACTATGAAAAAAATATTAGAAATCCGAAATATTTAGTTTTCGTATTAAAAAATAAACTTTTTAAAATCTTGCATTTTTGCTATATATAGATAATGGGTGGGATATATGGCAAAAATGCAAGGGTTTCAACAAATTAAACAAAGAATACGAAAACAAAGCACTTGTATTTTGCTATACAACACGCTTTACCATTCCTCTACACGTATCACGAAATAACCACTAGGTCTTTTACATGCCTTACAGTAATCATTTTATGTAGATTATAATTTATGATGATGCTACTTGTTACACACACAGTGTAATATAATATAAAGGCATGTATATAACATAAAGGCTAACATAAAGGCTAATATAACATAAAGGCATGTAACAGAGTAGTTACGAGAAAATTACCCCCACTCTTATTTTTTCTGACTTCCGCGACGTAAATCCCAGCGCGGCGTATATATCGGAGTTATCCTATGAAAAATTCCGCACTGAGAAAAAAATATAGTCAATTTTAATAAATATTTAGTTCAATATATACTGCCAACTAAATATTTACTTACAGTAAATAAATATTTGTTTAGTAAAAAAAAGTAATAATTATATTAATTTTGATATTGTATTGCATAATATAACTTAATTATTTCAACAGTATTATTATTAATTCTTCCTTTTTTTATTACTAACAACCTTTTATGTATGTACGTTCTGGTTAACATCTTTTCAAACTAAAAAGTTAATTATTTTTGTTATATTTTAACAAGAGAGTAGATTAGATAATTGTTATCAAGAAGGTATGATTAAGACATAATTAAGCAATGCCAAACGTTTTATATGATAAAAATCGAGATGTTTCCTGCTATTAACACCGTTTACAATGACAACATGTAGCGGTCGGATTTAATTTATTATCTTTGTGAGCATACGATATGGTGACAACTTGTAAACAGGGAAATACAATTGAATTTTCAGGGATACAATATAATCTACATGGTATCATAATGTATACATAACATATAATTTATATAATATACAACGTATTGTGCAATATATATGATATTAATTATATTAAAAGAGCACAACCGCCAATATTCATCGATACGCGTTAATATTTCGATTGCGCATTTCAAGACTTATCGGCGTAGTTTAGACTCGCGGTTTTTCCCCCTTCGGATAACGACGGCCAATTCATTGCAATGATTCATTGCCGTGCGAGAAAATTTAGTTCGTTATTACGGTTCAAGTGCAATAACGTACCTTGATGATCGCGAGAGGGAAGCGATTTGTCAATTGCTTGGACCTCGAGAGCGCAACGCGCGACTCGTTAATCTCGGAGGGCGGCACGCACGTGCAGTAGCCCCCCTGGTTAACGAGCCCCCACACCTACGTGTTCCCATCACGTTGTGTAATGAAATCGGCAGCTGTGTAGGTAGTAGAAGAACTAAGGTCGCGACATGTCGTTTCTAATATTAAGGACAGCTAATCGTATCACCCGTGATCCTCGGCGATCTTTACGACTGTCATTTGCATCTTAATTACCTATTGCATGTTATTGCTGCTCCCGTTAATTACGGGATACGTTGCCTCGTTGCCTCGTTGTGCTAAATTTAGAGAAAAAATATTGACGTAACGCTCGTGAAAATATTTACGTGATAACTGATGAGATAACATAAACCATATATTATGTTACTTTGTTTATTTAACGTTATTTACTTAATGTCTTTATTTGTAATTTTAAGATTATTTTATTTTAAAAATAATGAAACATTTTAATATTGCAAATGTTGCAACAATGTTGCTGCAAGCTTCTGTATGAGAAGTCACTTTATGGCTGTTCTACAATGTGCTTTTTGTTTCCTGTTTCTTGCCTTCTTGATCAAAAAGGCAAGAGACGAACTGCAAGAAACAGGAAAAAAAGCACATTGTAGAACAGCCATTAGTTGTTTTAACTTATCTCTACTTGTTTGTCTTTTAATATTTAATTTTTAAAAAATTGTGACAGATAAAAAAACAAATTACCTCCTATTTTCCTAAAGTAATACTTACTTCAGATTTGTTGAAATCTGTGTGTAGTTACAGTAATTAAGGAATTCAATTATCACGTATAATTGACTAAATATAAGACATGTTTAATATCGTTTTATCTTAATTGCTCGGACAAATGAATTCTAGAAACAAGTTTTCCTTCCACACCCACGTCCTTACTTACCATTGACCTATAAAAATCGAGCGCACTCATTGCGCGAACTGTCAGCGGAGAAACGAGGTCACCAAAGATGAAAAAAAAAAAAAAATTAAGACAAAGTTGATCGTTACTTAATCGTTGATATTTATTAGTTTAACTTCACAAGAGAAAACATTTCGTATTAAAATATATATATATATATATGTATATATATATTCATATATAACATTCTCATTCCTTAGGAGGGCAGTGTTCTCTGGCCGCACATTCGATTCACACGCGGGGGCGAAGAGCGAAGAGACGATATAATAAGTAAAAGATACATATAAGAATATAATTTCCTACGCGGATGCGACGATGTGTTTCTTGTTCTTCGTTCTTGAATGTGTGCCGGTAAGCACGGTGCCCTTTTCTCGGACCTGTTACATTATTCTTAATTGCGACGATTGGAGGCGGTATTGGTGACCAGTGGAATTTCGGTGCGAGATCATATCCCGCGACGCGGAAATGATTCCGCGTGCGTTCTTTTTGCGACAGCGGCGTAAAAAAGCCCATTTTCTTCTGGCGTCTGTCGGAGAAGAAAACTCGCCGAAATTACATCGATCACGGATAATAAACACCCGTTACGACATTCGTCGTTCAACGCCGACGACGTGTACGTGATGTGTACAGCTACCGTTTCTTAAGCCCTATCGTCATATCGCAGATAGCATATTATCTCTCCTACTCCTACCTATTCTTATAAATTATCATCGATATATCAATGACGGAGAAGAAAAAAAAGAAATTCTAATATATAAGGAAGGCAACATGTGTCTCACCTGTTTATCGATATATTGTGCGCGCTTTTCAACACATTTGAATCAATGTTACATCACTATTCATCTACTATATACTTCGTATATATCTCTCTCTCTCCTTCTCTTCATAGAGATACTATATATTTATTCTATATATATTTGTTTTCTTATCACTGTTGCAGTAGGCACGAGAATGCGTGCTTGAACGACCCTTCCCTTATAATTTTTTTTTTCTTTTCCGGTTGAACAGAAATCGGGTGAAATAATATGTATTTCAATAGCATATCCTCTCTATTACGATGCACCTACCACTGGAAGCGCCATATCGTAAAATCACGAACGAAAGGAAGCGAGAGTTCTTATCTACGCTTGGCAGGATGCAGGCACTTTTGGTTAGTTATACGGCATATGATTCCGTTACAACTATGCTTATATCTCGGCTCAAATGCACATGGATATCCGTCTCTACTCGATCGTGTGCAACTGTAGCTCAGATAAACACTGCTTGTTAAGCTTTAGTTTCAAATAAGTAATTTTCAATCTTAATCAAGCCTGATTAACGGAGTGCATTTTTTTTTTTTTTTTTTTTTTAAAAATTACGTCTCTTTTTTCCTCCTTCAAAATTTTATCTCTTTTAAATTTAAAAATTTTAGAATTTCATCTCTATTAAATTTAAAAATCTTTCGATTACAAATTTGGTAGCTCTTAAAAGTAACATCACGAGGTGAAAAGAGAGACGTGTACAATGGAAAATGTGGATTTGTTCGTTCGGATCGCAGTCTTTTCCTGGAATGTCAATTGATTACATAGAAAGGAATGCACTTTGTACCTAACGCTAATCAGGCACTTATTAGGCGTAATACATGGTGAGTACTCGATTTTCTAAGAAATGACAATGAAAAGAATGCTGACTAAGACAATCATCATAGACGCAAAAGAAATGGGAATAAAGCGAGGCAGAAGGGAAGAACGTCTACCGACGAAAAAGAGAGATGTATATAATAATATTATTATTATGCGAATTCTAGCGTTCTCCAATTGAAGGGCGACAGGTTGATGCCTCGGAGAAAATACGCGATATGATACCGGATAACAGCGTTGCGTTCGTCGTTAATAATAATATTTCTATCTCACGTATACATCTAAAAGGTGATACAAAATCACGGCGACGTGGAGTGTTTCGATTACCTGGCAGTCTTACTTTGAGCATAGATCTCTCGTGGAAATGTTCTAAATGGCAAAGAAGCGAATATAATATAAATCGCGCGTCGCGTTTTTCTTTCTATCTAATAAACTTTTTAGTGTTACAGCACTATCCATTCGTATGTTTTACACACGTTTTGCCGAAAATCGGCGTTTTTATGCGTCCAAAATGGATATGACGCATTATATCAGATATTGTATATCATATTATTTACAGTCTACATTGATATCATACAGATAAGATTTCTAAAATTTTATTTTTTTAACCGTACGAATTGTAGACTGTGTTTATGAGAATTTTATTTCCTTTTCAAGGAAATCTTGATCCAATTATTGCATAGACGATAAAGAGATATAATGATATATCAGTTTTATATACAATTGTATCTGTACAAGATTAAGATAAGAAAACATGGATTGTCGAATAAATTTAAATCAATCATATCAGTTTTCAAATGAATAAATTGCAAGGTTATAGCGTAACTCAAATACTATACGGAAAGAATAATTCTGCTATCTAAAAATTTAAATATGTATGTATACACAGATTTAAAAATAATTTTGTTGAACCATCAAAACAATTACATAGGAAACTCAAGCATGACGAGAATATTACAAAAAGTTTCGAAATTCTATTAAACGACCTAAGCATAATTATTTTTGGTAGTTCAATAAAATTATTTTCAAATCTTATCCAGCAAAATTTTTAGATACTTCAGCAAAACCATTTTTTCCACTTAATATTCGTATCCTGCACGCTTAAATCCTTTATCATTATCTCGATGCCGTTATCTTGATAATACTTGAACAATCGTCTCGAGCGCCATCAAATCAACCATTAATTTTTCCACGCTCGCACAACTGACGAAGCAGAAAGTATCGCTGATACGGCACCGCGGGTAGTCACGTTTCAATCTCTGTCGAATAGTACAAGCGAGTCGGAGTACTCGGTTCGGATAGTAATGCGATATTAGGTATTCCACGTGAACACGTCAGTGGGACATTAAAGTAACTGATGTTCGCGCTCGCAATTTATGTGTAGAATATACAAATGGTAAAAGGTAGTGCTCTCCTTTTTTTTTTCATTTACCTCTTATACGTATTGAAAAATATCTAAATTCTAAACTATCACTTGAAACACATGTGATGTCGATGGACGAGTGAACTAAAAGCAAACTTCCTCGTTCACGTAATTACATTGCGCATAAATTACTTAATATAAAAATTCTTTTCTTATGCAGTACATTTTTAATGTTATGTTGAAACATCGCTGCGGTATTACCATACTAATCGCCAATTCATGGTACCAGTCTTATTATACCATTTTAAAAAAAACAAGAGAAAAATCGTAGAAATATACTTGTAGCGTTACAACATGGTCCCTCGACGCATCACTTTTACATACATTGTAAGTCCGTATTATAAAAAGGAATTGACGAAGAATAATCTATGACGTTACAACTTGGTCCCCTCAAAAATATACATTAATTTTACGTTATAAAAAAAAAAGACCTAATGCGCGAGATATAGCGCGTCGATTGTAACTTGGCCTATCATCTAATTTCCCGGTATTCGCGTATAAAATCGCGGACACGTCTTTTCTGTGCATCTTTTTTGTGCATGGAATGACGAAACGCGAAGACGCGCGTTAATTAATATCTACGCACTTATGCATACACACACATTCATACATAGCTCTCCCTCTCTCACTCTTTCTCTTCTCCTTTCTCTCTCATTCTCTCGATATGCTCACGTACATATACAAGTGAACTTTTCTTGCTTTCTCTCTCTCTCTCTCTCTCACATATAGCAACCTACAATGTACATGCGCATTCTACAACACGCTTCTAGGATATCAGAAAGATCATGGTGATCGGTAGCATGAAGAAATGAAAAGTTAGATTAGGTTCGCGGGGGGCGGCGAGCGCGATCGTTTTCCCTCGTGTGAAAGCGATCGAAGAGAATACCTCGGAGTTCGCGGCGCGAACCGAGAGACCGGTGCGCGGACCGGTACGAACACCCGCCGGATGCTGTGCTCACCAACTCCCTACGGTGAGATAAATCTCTCCGCGAAAAGCACGTCCGGTCCCTGCTTTACGCGTTACAGGTTGTTGCTGGCCCTTGATCCCGCGAACTCGAGACACATACGCTCAATTCGATTATATAGAAAGAAAAAAAAAAGAAAAAATATGAAGGAAACAGCTGAGGCAGGAATTAGTTGCCAAGATAGAACGCGAACGCCGTCCCCCGCTTTATCACACGATCCAAGTCTGCGAACGAAGGCTTCCGAGAGTGCCGGGAGCACTCTCGGATGTTTTCTAGGTTTTTTTTTTCTTTTCTTTAAGCTCTTTCACAGGTGTTTCTCTTTCTCTCCTCGTTTTCGTCGAAGGACAGAACCCGTCCTCGGCAAAGCTCGAAAATATGCGGGCATGCTCGCGCCGAGCGTGACAATGGAAACCCCCCGGCGGGCACGCGGCGCATATTTTCTCCTCCCCGCATATTTTCTTCGTTCCCGCGCATATTCTTACGAGGCTGATCGTCATTCCATTCCATGTACCTTCCTCACGGGACGTACGGGTTCGCGCTCCGAGTACGCGAGACTTGGTAGGAATGCAGGCGCGAATATATACGGAAAGAACGATTTTGCAAATGTTCGTTTCTATCAACTGTAATTGGTGGAAACGATGGCGTCGGAATTAGAAAAATTTGCGCGTAAACTTCAGCGCGTTGACTTTTATGTGCCTTTGATATCTTGATTTATTTTTACGTTAAGTAGTATTAAATAAGTAAATAAGTATTTACTTATTTATTTATTTGAAAAGATAAAAAGTTAAACCAAGATTAAAATTAATCTACATTGGTAGAAACGGACAATTTAAATATAACACGCGTTGTTTATTTATAACAAACAATTTAAGGTACAGAAATCCGCAAATAATTTTATTGGACTATCAAAATAATTATGTAAATATGTAAAAAAAACTCCAGCATTGAGCAATGGTGCAAAAAAAATCTATGTAAGCATTACAAGAAATATATGAACATTTTGTAAAAAAGATTACGCAAAAATTACTGCGGAGCTACTCTCACTTGCTCGATATTTTTAAACATTTTTTTAAATACTGAGAGTCAAAAAAATATTAAAAAAAAAAATTAGTTTAAGCGTCCTCTATAATTATTTTAAAGATCCAAAAATTTTTTATTTTTAGATCTGTATTTAGTTATTTTTGGACACTTCGAGAAAACCATTCTTTCTGTATACGCGCGCAATAACGCGACGAAGTGCTTCGCGGAAGGCTAAATTTTTTATTTCCCGCGTGTGCGATCATGGGATGACGTTCGTGTTGAGGGGGCTTTATCCGCGGTTGCGTGCGAACTCTGCTAGCAAAGTACACGCGTGGATGAAAACGATAACGGTGACGCAGGCCAACAAACTCGCTCCGGTCTTCGTGTTAAATACCAACTCACACTGGTATCGTGTTAATTTAACGAAAGCAAGATAAAGAAATAAATTTTACCTTAATTTTCTTTTCATCGATTAATTATCGTAATTACACATAATGAATGTAAACAATCGAGTTGAGTTGTGAGAAGGCCAGCTGTAGCTGCGTGATTCTAATTAATTGCACGTCATGGCAAAAATGATCGGTTGACTCGAACTGCCTCGTAATATAATCGCAAACTAAACTTTTATGCTTATCCTGATCGGTTTGAAAATCGAATTGGAAAAAAATACTGTACAATATTAAAGAAAGAAACAGGGTATCTATTTAAGAATTCAAAATCCGACAACTTGTGTTACTCATTGCCATATGACGAAACACAATTCGTTAAAATCAAACAAACAAACAATAAATTGTCAGAGTTCGACACGTGGTTGACATTCAGATCACGAATTCGACAGCTAGGAGCGCGCGAGATAAAATAAATAAAGGAAATGAATAAACGTAGAAAATAAGTGGAATGAGCGGCGTATAAAATCGATGGGAAACTCTCCGCAGGTGAAAGGATTCGAAGACGAGGAGAGTTCGACGCGAAGACGAGGAGAGACGAGGAGACGGGCGGTGGGCTGCGCGCTTTGTCTTCACCGCAAACTCGACGTCGAATGGAAGCGTGTACTCGCGCGAAAGAGAAACGGCGAGACACCAAAATCTTGGCCTAACTATCCAGGGCCAAATTGCACCGACGCTAATACTGACTTTAGTTCGATTGACTTGAGATCCTGCATTGATTCAGAATTAGTATCGGAAAAGAATATAGAAACCGATCTAAATTCTACGTCGATCAAAGAATTCGTTAATTAGATAATTAATTGATTATACCTTAAATCTACTAAATTAACTACAAATTGAAAATAAACAAAATTTTTTTAATCTCGATTCGTCAAAAGATACTTATCTTAACTGACCAAATCTCGTTTTTTTTTTTATCAACGTATGAATTCTAAATAGGATTAACATTCGCCTACTCGAATCCAGTTGACGCTAATCGAATTAATTTTGAACATCGATGTTCATCGTGGTAATTCGGATCGAAGGACCAATTGAAAAGCAATTTTAATCGATCTATCTTTTTTCCTCATTTGTATATCAGGAATAAAATATATAAAAAAGCGGAGTCCTAAATCAGACAGTCGTCGATGCAATTCAGCTTAAAACTCTACAATTTTTCCGATCCTCCGTTTTATATCTGCATTATCGATATGGCTGTCTTCCTCCCCCACTCTCTTTCTCTCTTTCTTTACATTTATCTCTTACTCTCATCTCCAATTTAGAGACATCCTACCGTTTGCTTCTTCCCTAAGTCGAGCAGGGTTATTACTCGGGGAGAGAGACGAGGAACCTTCCGGAGAACTTGGGTGGAAGCGTTCCTTGAAGAGATCCTTCGCGATCGCTTGATGTTACACATTCTCCTTGCCTTGCAGCTTAGTTGCAAGATCAGCGACGAGTTGCTTGTACACCAATGGATCGATGTTCTTGCCGAGTTGATACAGGACAAACCAATCGCCGATCTGACACTTGTCGCTGATGATTTTAATTTGGTCATGTGGCGAGAGACGCGAGCGTGCTCGTAGCAGCACGCTTCGTAGTTTCGGGCCGAGTACTACTGCTGCACGATAGAGCAGGCTAAGACCGCTCAGGATCGATAAGATGATGAACCAAAACCAGAGGAACACGTAGATCTTCTCGTTGACGATATTGAGCGGCAGCACACAGAGCCCGTCGAATTTCTGCACTGTGCCAGACGCACCATATTTATGGAATGTGCACTTGGTAACCTTCGGGAACACCTTGGACATGGGATCGATACGTTCCTCAGGTTCCATCTCCGTGAACTTGATGACATCGGAGCCGTACGTGGTGAACTCGCCGTCCAGGAAGAAATCTATGAAAAAGATCTGGCCGACCACGTTGATAAAGTTCAACAATTCGCACAGGAAGAAGCGATACGCGTAGAAGTTCTGCGAGTGCAGGTTCGAGGTGAAATAGTCGACCAGCAATTTACGTCGGTCGCTCTTACAATCTTCGCTGACTACCGGACAATTGAGGTCCAGCACCAGCATCTTGATCCTGCCACCCTCCCACGTTTTCCAGAGGTAGCGTGGAACATAGAAAAGGATCGCCTGGAAGAAGAGGGTAAAGCAGACCCACTGATAGTATTTATGATACTTGATTTGATCCTTGCCCTCGATGTGCGCGGCAACTCCCGGTTGCACCAGGTCCTTGCCCACTATGCCGGTTCGATCCGGGATCGTGAAGGTGGAGTAGATCCAGCAGTAGGTGTCCATCACGTGCAACGGGATTTCATCGACGATACAATCGATCGGGTCGCCAATATATTGCCGGGAGGTCACCAGGAGGGAGAAGATGATCAGTATGACCACGGTGGCCTTGTAGTGCAATCGAAACACATTGTTGTCGATGCAGACGGTGTCGAGCTTGAGCAGCCCCTTCACAGAGCCGAACACGTCAAACATGGTGGCGGTGGCAGCGCGTCGTTAGCCCTCTTTCCTTTTTCTCAATCGACTGTGATCCGACCACTCGCCCTAAGTACTCACGCACACGCGTTCGATCGCCAACCGGTCCAGTCACAAACCGAATTCGTTTTGTAGAGGTCTCCAGGTTCCACGACGCGACAGCCGTGTGTCGTGCGCGTTCGGGAGTCACGCTCGGCAGCTTCCGCGCTTCCTCGTTCTCACTCGCGTAACGCCAACCCCCTTCGAAGTTCGGTGGCGACAGCGACGGCGGCGGCGGCGGCCGATCGACCTCTTACGTTAATTCGTTCTGTCTCTCGCGTGCGCACACGTGCTCACGCTCGTACTACGCGGCAGGGCAGACGGCGTCGGCGAGATTCACTGCGTCAGTTCACGCGTGCAACAACAACGTGGTCACGCTATCGTCGCGCTCGCGACTTACTACACAACGTTAGCGGTTAGCCGAGCGTCACCGAGCGGCTCTCTGTCGTAATGGCTGCGCTGAGCGCTCGAGACGCGACACAAGCACGCGAGGACACGGCTGCTCCCTTTTCCTTGCCTCCCCCTCTATCGTCCTCTCCGTCTCGCTCGTTTATTCCCGTGCTATTCCTTCCTTCTTTACCTTGCAGCTTGCTCGGGCTGGCCGGTCGGTCGGGGACCGAAAACTGTTCGCTGGCTTCTGCGGCGCGGCAGGGAGGCTCTCGCTCTCGCTCTGTCCCCACCTACAACTCTCTTGCTCACCCTCCTAACGTTGTATCCGTCCTCCTTGCTCTCCCTTTCGCCAGGTAGTCTCTCGCTTTTTCCCTCGTTACGATCGGCGCGCGCTCGGCCGCTCTCGGTTTTTCGTCTCGTGGCGCGTTCGGCAGACATCGGCGGCCCTCGGACACCGTCGTTCGCTTCAGCGCGCGGCGACATGACTCTCGCATGGTTGTTACCATGGCGACTGGCTACCGATGCCGCGGGAGCGTGGGATTCTTCGAGCACTTTGATCCGTCTGCATCCAGTCGCGATCGACGCTAAATCATTCGTTCTCTCTTTTTTTTATATCTATTATTAGAGTTATTTTAGAAAGAAAGAATATATTTATACATCTTCCATGTCAAATATATCTATTAAATTTTAATATATAGCTTTTTCTACCTTTATTATTGGCAGAAATAACATTTAAAACAAACTAAGCCTGATTCTACCAATGTAAGATTAACTTTAATTTGAATTTAACTTACTGTTTATCTTTTTTTAATTCTTACAATTATATTTATCTTATTTTAATTCTTACAGAAAAAGATAAAACAAAATTAAATCGAAATTAAAGTTGATCTTATATTGGTGAAACCGGCCTTAAACAAATGTCACGAATTCTCATAGAATCATAATTTATATTTTCTAAATAAAAGCTCTTTTTTATTGAGATATACTAAATTTAACTGAAATCGTATAAAGTAGAGATTATGAACTTAAATCTGTTGTATGGAACGGTGGAAGAGAAATGCAAGTAGAAATTATGTCAATTTACCGTGCCGCATCTTTGAAAAGTCTGGAGAAAAATTACAAATTGCTTTAACATTTTCTTCCTTAGGTCAGTGACACAAAATTATGTTCTAAAATTACGTAACACATGAATGAAAACCGGTGAAAAACTGTACTGCTATTCCTTTTTTTTTTTGCGCGCGCAACATTGCGTGACAAAGCATGACGTTTGTATGACGCAATGATAATATCTTTATCCAAACGTGGCTTATGCCGTAAACCTCTCTCACGCCGTTTACTCATGACATTTACTTGGAAAGACGTACGCGGATCTTACAGCGTGAATGCACAATTACTGTAGTAATAGTATTATATGCTGTACCAGTACTTAAAATAAGCAACACGTTTCTGAGCTCAGGAATTCAGAGGATTTGCTAAACCACCTTCCCTTCCTGCCCGTGTCCTTGATGTTCTTACAAGGAGAGGCTACGCTCTGCTCTTTACCGATTTTGATCAAACTTGCAGCAATGTTAGAGGAGTCTACCAAATGAACACCTGTAAAGCCGTCCCCGCTAATGGGGCTTAAAAGCTGAGTAAAAAAAATAAGCATTTAAAAATATACCAAAAAATCTGAAAACAGTCTAATATCTCGGAAAGTATGCATTTTTGAGAAAAATGTCAAACAAAAATGGTAGGGTTTAATAAGATGTATTTACTGGTTTTATCGGTTTGACCTTGGGAGGTATCGTCAACCTTGACTTGACCTTAGCGATGCCACCCAAGGTCAAATCAATAAAACCAATAAATATATATCTTATTAAACCCTACCATTTTTGTCTAAGACATTTTTCTCAAAAATGCATATTTTCCGAGATATTAGACTGTTTTCAGATTTGGTAGACTCCTCTAACATTGCTGCAAGTTTGATCAAGATCGGTAAAGAGCAGAGCGTAGCCTCTCCTTGTTAGTGGGAAGCCTTTAAGAAGAGCTTTTCTTTCGTTCAGAGCAGGTCAAAAGTAAATTAAAAATCTGTAGAAAACTAAATTTAGATGTTTTCTACATGTTCTTCAAAAGCCAAAATTCTTGTACTAAAAGACTGAGATTATTTGTAATTCATGAAATATTCACAATCAATTGTTATGAATTAATAATTAATTTATGTTGATTTATTTATATTTGGAAAATACTGCGGTGACCATATACCGCAAAAGAATATCCTGCAAACAATTTATATCGTTAATCGATACGTTTAAAATTATAATATACATAAAATATCTCCATTTGCAATTAATGTAATCCAATATATTATTACATATTATTAAAAATCAAATGATAATGGGCTAGCATGATAGCTCAGCTAAATTTTAATCCTAAAGGTATTCTCTATATTCTTTGGAGTGGACTCTCACTGTAAAAAGAGTAAACATTGAGCCAGTCCTGAAAAAGAGTGGCTCAATCCTCAATATTTAAGAATACACATTTCACTCTTCGGAATAACAATTTATTTTAGACAATAAATATTCTAAATAGTAAATATATAAACGTTTCGATCTCTATCAAGCCATTTTCAATATCAAGAAAACAAAATAAAATGTCAATTAAACGTACAAATTAATAAATCGTCATCTTGCTGATGTTACTCGCAAACGCTAATATATGAACATGATGTAGAGGTATCCCTATCCGTTATTCAGTAACCTAAGCGGTAATCTGTTAAATATAGATTTAGAGTAAATCGTAAATAATGTTGGATGTCAGTTATAAATAAAAATTAAAATAAATAAAAATTGACAAAGCGTTATTAAAATTGCATGCAAACCTTAATGAGTATAGAAGCTCAAATCGTATGTTATTATGTGTATAAGAACAGTCTGAGATTTTAATTATTTTTTACAGAGATAGGTATACGGATTACATGATGATTATGCTATTCCTCGTCAGAATATGAAATATAATCTTTAGCATTAAAACCTCCAGCTCGACTCACAGCCCATTATTTTCACTTTATTTTTAATCTAATTAAGTGTTTTTATTTACAATTTATGTACCATTAATATAAAAATATAAATTATTATGTAATCATATTATACAAATTAGTGCACCAATTCCATTCATCCTGCGCATCGAATCGTAAATCATTTATAATCATCGTACGCCGTTGGGCGCGTGCTCTAAATATAGAGCTAGTGTGATGAAACCTGCGCCTCTTCGCTGATTAATTATTCTCGCTAAATCTATATTTAACAGATTACCGCTTAGGCTATCGAGGACTGAATAGCAGATAGAGATACCTCTGTGAGACATCATGTTACTATATTATAGTTCGCAAGTAACATCAGCAGGATAACGTTATCTGGCTGCTAAGCAACCCTATCATGTTGCGTTGAGAAAGCGTCAGATATTAAAATAATAGCCAGCTGTTCGAGTCATTTCATAGAAGAACCACGTCCGAATACCGTCATCTCGTTATATCGCTGTTCAGATAGGACTTTACCAGGCACGGATTCAGATGAATCAGCGAACTGTTCCGCGAAAAGGGATCTTTAACTCTGGTAGCTCCAAGAAAGAGCCATAAAAGACTCAAAGACTAAGGAATTCCAAACCGGTTGAACACGGCTGATTCAATTTTCGAAGTCGGTCGAACAAAATAATCATTTTACTTATCCGTGACATTATTTGCGAACATATTTTTTGTGTTTGCTGCATTCCACAAAAATCGAATGCTTCACGCGAAAAGATTGTATTAATTATTACATATATATGTATAACATACGTACATATGTATATATCGTTCTTTACAGAGTTCGATGCACTTGGGAAAAGCTAATAATAAATTGTAAATTTAATTTGAAATTATCGCTGATTTCAACATTCCTCGTAAAATTTTACAACTTTCGTCTGAGCGGCTCTTATCCTCTCTTGGCGCGACACGTAACTGGCACTACAATACAATTGTGCATTGATATTTCAATATTGATATCAGATAAGGTAGGGTTATCTATTAATCGCGAAAAACGTAGATAAGGTGAATTATATCCTATCGTGCAATCGTCTGAAGATTTTACAACCGTTCTTATATTGATACATGTAATCTGATCCGGGAGATAAAAACCATAATATTACGATTATTTAATTTACAATCGATATTACGTGTATTATGTGTGATACATGATGTGATACGTGTGATACATCCCGTACGTGATTGTGACTCATGATACAATGTTTAATTCGGGAATAGTTATCCGGAATGTTTTTTTATATTTTAATTAAAAATCTTTTATATAATAAAATTTAGGTGATTATTCCCGTATCTCAATTCTGTCTGAAAAATCAAAATAGAAAGAGATTTTTACATTCTTATCATTACATTTTCTTATTTTTGTACAATGGAAAATATTTCTTAATTCCGATTCTGTAACTAAAAATAATTCGATATCGTTATGTTGTCTTTGCATAGATATTATAATATATATGGTAAAAAAGTTACGCAACGACAATATAACGATATCGACACTATCATTACCCAGACAATACACAATATTTATAAAATGTTTACAACATATTTGTAAGATTTATTTGTAATATTTTGTAAATATTTTTTTGTAATATTGTTTTAGATTGGGCAGATCATAAATATTTATTATAAATATTATGAGAGAGAGAGAGAGAGATATTTATTGTACATATATATTATAGTAAATGCTATGAAAATACTTAATAAAATATTATAATCCAAGTAAAAAATATTTACTGAAAATATTTATTCATATTTTATCATAAATATTATATAAAATATGTATAAAATATTTATATAATATTTCAAAAAATAAATAATAAATATTTATGAATATTTATCATAAATATTCTGTGTTGTCTGGGTAAGAATTACAGAATCAGGGTTAAGAAATTAACATCTGACTTCGTCCACTTCCAATTTACAAAAACAAGAAAATATAATGACATTTAAGAATGTAAAAACTTGGCTATTTTAATTTTTACATTTTTAACATTTTTATTATTTTTTATTTTTAAATGCATTACATTTTCTTGTTTTTATAAATTGGAAAGTGATATCAAACAGAAATATAAAAAAAACTATTTTTGATAGATTCTGTTTCTACTTGTGCATGGGTTTTTTAATGCTTTTCTCCTCTTATTCAATAGCTTTTAATCTATCTCTTAACGTACTTTTAAGAACAGAACATCGCTTATTTATTTCTCTTATTGTCATTTCCTTATTTCTTACTTTCTTAACAGCCTAATATACTCTCTTCTTCCCACTTACTTCGTATCGTATCTTCCCAGTGTTTTTGATATTCGCCTAGAACAAAACAGTCGTCGTAAACTAAGTCTCATTGACTTAGACTCCGATATTGTCCGTCACCTCGCGTCCACTATCGCCTGAATGACGTGCAGCGGAAAAAATTATGTATGAAACGAACAGCTTTAAAATAAAAAAGACTTTAAACATATGATTTAAAGAATCATAGTCGTTGTTTATACTAGTGAATTAAACTTTCATTTAATGATGTGACTGGTTGGTCACCTCCGTACCAGCATAAACGACAATTACACAACAAAATGAATAATAATTCACAAACAACATTGCCATTTGATATAGAGAAGTTCCGGCTTTTACGTGCAGACGGAATGTATATTTGTCATTGGCAAATAAATTTGTATATTTGTCATTGGCAAATAAATAGCTTGATAAATATTATACTACCACATTTGTTTAAAATTTTTAATAATTCTTATTCTATACCAGCTGTCTGATACCACCTGATCTTTCCCTAAATAATCCAATAAACTGTATGATATTGTAGATTATGATATTAAAATTTATTTGTATTGATAAGAATTTAGCTGCGTAAACACGACTTTACAATCACCTTATATATGATTCAACGTAAATATAGCCCGACGAATTACGTCAGACGAAGTCGCTGGATTTTGTTACAAGTGTCATAATGATTTATTACCTTTTTTTTCTCAAGAAAACAATGTATATAAATAGTTTTATACTTGTTACAACACTCATACACCCAAGGACGGTCCTGTGGCGCAACGGATAACGCGTCTGACTACGGATCAGAAGATTCCAGGTTCGAATCCTGGCAGGATCGTGAATTTTTTTTTATTTTTTTTGCTTGATTTAAATTTTATTCGATTTTATTTTAAAGCAATTATTCAACAAAAATTAATAATTTTTATTCAAATTATTTTAAAAAAAGAGTTATATCAAATTAAAAATTGAAAATTGTCTTACATTACTGTGATTATATATACCTTAGAGTTGAAATATAAATCACTCAACTTGTGATGGACAATTACAAGTCTTTATCTCTAAATAAACATATTTATCTGAACACTCGACGTAAAAATAAAAACATTAGATAAGAACAGGTAAAAAATAATGGTAGATATTATATAATAGTTCTAGATTTTTAGTGTTTTTTTGTATGTTTAATTCTCGCACATTTTTATCCGTGTATGTGTAAAATTTCTGGTGTTAAGGGGATGTTAGAGTCGCCTGTATTATACCGATAAAACTAGCGTTTTTGACGTTTTTGTTCCTGTCAAATTTCTTCGTAGTGATTTTACAAAATAAAAATTTTTTTCCACAATTAAAATGTACATGCTAATGTAATTGTCGCTGGTATATTTTGTTTTAAGCTGAAAAAAAATTACAGATTTCTTTATCCATTTTATCTTCAACGTTGGTCGCCATACTAAAATAAAAATGGATAAAAGAATCTGTAATTTTCTTTTTCTAGCTTTGTACACGAAATACACCAGCGACAAGTATATTAGCACATATATTTTAATTATGGAAAAGAAATTTTTATTCTGTGAAACCACTACGAAGAAGTTCGATAGGAATAAAAACGCTAGTTTTATCGATAATACAGGCGACTACAGCATCTCCTTAATTTCATATTTTATTTTTTTTCTTTATCCAATATTAAAACTTTATCTTAATTATTGCACTATCTCTATTTATTCAATTTTGATTGTTAGATACTGTCTTTCGTTAGAAATAGGTCGGGTCAAGGAAAGTCCTATCGCTATCTGCTCTCGTCTCATATCTAGTATCATGGCCGCGCATATTTCCGTCATTATCGTGAACACAATGTGAAATATAAGGAATACCTATATTCAACATCACGTCCACTACTAATTGCTGTCGTCCGTACTCGGTGGGTCAAATAAATTAACCCATCACTGTTGATTTTTCCTTGCTATGGAAGAGCCAATAGTAAGGCGCGCGTAAGCCGAGAAGAGCCATCAAGAACCATAAGAATCCGGCTATTTCAACATGTAATACGCCTTCGTGTCTATGCCTTCGTGTTAACGAAAAGATGTGCTTCTCTAATCTTTGAACGTCATCATGTGAATGTGATCCAGAAATAGACAAAGAGATTTACATACCAGATATAGAGAGAAAAGCCAGTTGATACATTCAATATATTTTTTGAACAGGTCCAAATATCCTTTCTGCTTGCATTGAAATACACATTTTAAATTGTTTGTACTCATCAAAATAGCTTTCCTATTTTGTTTTATTACAAACGAATACATTTTATTATTTAATTTTCTCGTCATATTCTGTTCTGTTGTTATTACATAGGAACTATAGAAGTTTTTTATAAAAGTATGATTTTTTATTAAATATTTTAATTTAAATTTATGTATATTTTAATTCAATTTGTGCAAAAAGTTTAATTTATATAACGCTATAAAATTATAAGTTCTAACTCTATTTAATTAAATTAAAAGTTAAAGTTTTAATGAATAATAGAAAAGAATACAGTTTTAATTTCGTTTGGTTTTGTTGTCATGAAAAGATTAATTTTGCCAGCATTTGAAGGAAACTAATTTTTGTTTTTAAGTTTATAGTTAATGTATTACGTTTTCTTCAATTCCATTTCCTATAATTATATTCCCAGAAGGATAGTTTATCTGAATCCCTTGTTTGTGACTTTACAATGTTAATCTAATCAATGTTTGTGATACAACAGCCATCCTCTTCAAAAATTCGAGATCAGTAACCTTTTTAGTATTTCAACTTACCATGAGAATTGATTTGTCTTGAAAAACAAGTCAAGAGTGAAACAGAGTGAAGCCGAATTTTTGTTATCTATATTATTCTATACTTTTATCTTTATTTTGTTATAATATAAATTTTATTAAATATCTTTTTTACCACGAAATATATACATTTTATAATGTCATATGAATATAATAGTATTTATTTATTTTTACATATTTATCCGATTTATGAGAAGAAATTCCTATCTAATATATAAAACAAATCTTAGTACTAATTTCTTATTTTTCTTCTTTATACTATACCATATTACATGTATCTACATAGCATTTGCAATTCCGTTTTTTAAATATAGGATGTGAGAACTGCTGTTACTCGTTGAAATTTATTATTTTGTTTAAAAAAAATCTCTCGTAATGTGCATTCTTCTGGAATACGGTACTTTTATTTTAATCTGGAATTTGTTTAAATTCCTAAATGGATGGGCTTTATTTGAAAAATCATCAGTTTTCAAAATGAAATTTCGTTAATGTAACCCAAACCGTTGCAACACTGTCCGGTCGGTCAGTCCGGCATTTCTATGAATCAGCTCGAGAATTTTTGACTGCGACGGGTTTCTCTTACCTGCGACCTGCGGGTAGGCGTCGACGCGGCACGATTCTCGATACATCAGCTGGTGCGGGTACCTGTAACTTCTCCCTTCCTTTCTCTCTCTTTCTCACAGACGAAGGGCGAATGAAGTGCGTGAAGATCGGACGGAGAGAAAGATTAAGAAAGAAAGAAAGGAGAGAGGGCCGGTTTTTCTGGTTTTCCACCTCCGCAACCTCGTGTGGTCTCTCCTGTAGTCTTCTCTCGTTACCTTCGCACAATGAGATGCGTACATGTCTTCACGTGACTATCCGATAAACGAATAATAATGATAATATATTTTGTTCTTTTTTGCAAATATGTGCACTGTGTTTTCTTTACATCGATTAATTTATCATAGAACACAATATTCTATATGTGTCTAAATTTATTTACATATAAAATGTATATACATATATTACATATATACAGGCATCGACATGTATTTGAAATACTTTTATTTAAAACACAGTATTTAAAATACGAGTGTATTTTGTATTTCAATGGAGCACGTGGAAGTATTACGTATTTTGTACTTAAAGTTGAAAAACTAAAAGTTTCTTGTGTATTATAATTCAAATAATAAGATTGATTGTCAATCTTATAATATTTGAAATATAAAATATAAAATATTTTCATATGCTCCGTTGAAATACAAGATACAATTATTTTACAAATACTATTTTTTAAATAAAAATTTTCTAACTAATCAATCTTGCACACACGCGCGCGCGCGCACACACGCACACACACCAACACACACACCACACACACACGCGCGTGCGTACGTAGATTGTAACAATATAATTATATAATTTTCAAAATATAGTAACATCCTTAATCCATAATATAATTATATAAATATATAAATTATATAATTATATAAATTTTGTTTTTTACAACACATTCTTATGTAAAGTTAGAGTAAACATAATTACGAAAATATAAAACTGTGGAATGAATAAAATAAAAAACAGTGGAATATTTTTTTATTGAAAATTCAAATATTTTCAAAAAATGTAATGCTTATTACGGGTATTATTTGATTGTTAATTTAATTTTTCTCATTTCAGAAACCATACTGCAGCACAGACCTTCAAGGTATCTCTAAGGGGGAACCTAAAAATATCCAGAAGATCTCCTAATAAAGATGTTCCAGGATGTCCCTCAGATAAAATGTGAGAAAATAGTAGATGAAGTATCGTATAATATAACTGTTTTCCGATTTGGCAGCGCAATCTATGAGATAAATCATGAATGACTTCGCGTAATCTTTTATTGACATAAAGGCATAAATTATTATTTCAATAATCAAGCCTTTATGTCAATAAAATATACGCATGAATTAATCACTTATGTTAGTGACAGCCCGTAATATAGACTTTAATTGAATCAACAGCATTTTTTTCTCAGTGTGGAAAAACTATTTATTTTATTTAATCTAAACGTTTTCAAAACAACGGTTTAGATTAATATAGTAAAAATTATATTTCAACCAATAAGATATAAGACATAGAACTGTAATAAAATTTGTAAAATTTTGCATACTGTGATAACGATACAGGAACTCAATAAAATCGATATATATGAATGTCGGCGTTATTTACCAACTCACTTTAGCGATGGGATATACATACTTGAAATATACACGCATTAACAGACAAAGCCAAGAAAGTGCATTATGGCGCGTATATATGCTTAGTGCCGAGACACTACCGTATACTCTGACTAAAGAAAACTGCGCAACAGTTTCTAACAAGCATTGCTTTGAGTAACAACCAGTGATTACTCGTAATCAATTTCTTGTCAGATTCAAGCGACTAATCGAGAATGGCTATACGTAATCTCTTGGCCGTACGTAATGTCGACGAAATTCTATGTGATCATGCTTTTCTCTTAATAGGTTAAAATTAAATTTGCGGCTTATTTAATGTTTTATTTGATTTTAAAGGAGTATGAGCGACTGTACACTCCGAGTGAATGGAGTAAACGATATGAATCTGAAGAACTGCGAGCGCGATTCTTTAAATTTTGTGAGGAAGGTAAGATAAATTGTTTTTCTCTACAATCAAAAATTATATAATTGTGATAGTCTTCTTCGAGAGCTTCTTTATTTAATAGTAGGAAAACTAATGCAACACTGGTGCAATTTAATACAAATCGGTTTACATATTTTCAGTATTAATAAATAATTTAATCTTTTAATTAGTTATGATGTGTTATCATGACAACATAGAATATGTAATTAAAAAAGATAAAGGATTAATTAGTGTGTATCAGTATTGTACTAGTTTTCCCAATAGAAAATTGTTGTAAGATTTTTTCTGATCGTACTATTATCATGCACAAAAAAGGCGTGTCAGATGCATCATGTGATCACTGAAGGTCTTTGTTATTGCAGTTACGGAAGAGACTCGGAAAACTGTTAAATGCGAACTTAATGTACCATACGGTCCTACAGAGCTCGTGCAAAATACGACATATATGGTGCCGATTTACCGAAAGGTATGTATATAAACATAACGATTTGATGGAATTTTTAGGTGCTAAACTTCTGGAACAATATACCTTTATTTTTCAATAAAAAATTATTTTCACAATTTTTTATTCTATGTTATATCATTATATTTTTATAATTATAGATATTTCTAAGAAAGAAAAATGGAACAAAAGAAATAAACTTATGAAATTAATACTTGAAAATCTATTATTTTATTCGATTTCTCTGTGTTTTCGATAAACTACGTAAAATCTATTTCCAAGGTAAAGCTTTCACTTGCAAATTATATCTATTTCGGTTTGAATCATTTATTCTTTCGACACACAAACATGAGTTCATATGTATATACGCGTATAATTTGGTTCGTTCAAAATTGAAATAAAATACATGAATGTCAAGAAAATTGTTTTTTGGCGCGAATATATTAATATTTTCATTCTTAATTCGTTCTAATCATTCCTTTCATCAATCTGCAAGATTAAATTGCAGATTATTTTCTAACGAATTGGTATATTTTAGATTCGTATTTATACCACACTAAAACGTTTGTGCATTTTAGATGCGCCGATATTTATATTTATTCGTGGCAAATATTGGCAAAATTTCAAGGATTCATGGAGGAATATCGGCAAGAATCTTAATGGCTTCTCTGTACCTTTGTTTGTTAAAAATAAGATCAAAGTAATAACAGTTGGATACAATTTTTGTCCGAATGGTGAGAAAATAGAAATTTCTATCGAATTATATTATTGTCTTGTCTTTCATTAGTTTTTTATCTCCCTTGTCATTAATTATTTATTAATTTACGTCTATACACACGCTAAACACACACACATTTAAAATTTCAAAAATTCTTTAAAGCGCGTTATAGCTGAAAGGATTGAATACATTTATGAAATGAATTGTATAAAACTTGTCGAAACTTATTATCTATACAAATAATATTCGAAACTCTCAGATTAAAAGATTATCTTATCAAATAATGAAATAATGTAATAAATTATTTTTTTATATTTTTCAGATAGAATTGGGGATATAGTAGCAGAGATAAAATCGGCGGTTGCGCAGATATTAAAATATGCAGCTGATACAGGCTCTAAGTACGTTTTATACCTCAACTTTCTACTCATATATTAAATACAAAATTTTAATAGAAAACGAATTGTTTATAATACAATTATATAATGTACATATAGACACGTGTGCATCGCTGGACATAGTGCTGGAGCACATTTGGCTGCATGTTTATTACACGATGACGATTGGATCAATCACATGACACAGAATGGATATTTTGCAATATTAAAGGAAATATATCATACTGATAGGCGGAATTTATAATTTAAAACCTATAACTAATCTCAAATTCATGTCTACCCTTGAATTGACCTAGTAATTACATACAGGGTGCTCCTGTATATCCTTGTTTTCAATATATATATAACGAACATATATTTCTTATAACAAATATACATAAATTATTGTTTTCAGCGAAGAAATTAAAAAATTTAGTATTTCTACCTTTGACGAAGCAAAAGGCCATCGTATCACTAACTTGAAAGTGATCGTAGTCGTAGGCAATTGCGATTCTCCAGCGTTTGTGGATGAATCGCCCAGGTATTTGATTAAATATTAGATCTGTTTTTTTGTAGCTAAATTATACACTCCCTGTACTATAAGTAAGTGTGAAACGAACATGTTTCAAATTCGGTGAAAATAACAAAGAAAGTTCTAGTGCAATGCAAACCAAACCTATATTGTATATTGAATAACACTGCGTAAATTTGTATCAAACTAAGTATATATCAAACTAACATTGTATTATTGTTTTAGAAACTTATTTCTATTGTGGATAATGTGGAATACCTATTACTTCAGGACATCGACCACTTTGATATAGTGGAGAAACTTCTAGATCCAAACTATCATCTTGCTAAGTTGATATTGAAGTGCCTCCAGCCGAATGTGATCCTTTGTTAGATAAATATGTAAAGTTAATGGAATTTGTGTTATAAGGCACTTTGTATTTAATGCAATATACAATTCAAATTGGCGCTAAAAAGATTTATTAAGAATTATATTGTTATATCTCTTTATATATTTAGCTTATAAACTAGAAATATTCAATATACACATTAAATGTAAATTTAAAAACATTAATCTTGATAAATTGATCGCTGTCGCTTTTATATAACAATGATCGAAAAGAACTTACTATATATTTGAGTCATTTGGATTGTGCTGTTGAAAAACATCCATTTGCTTGGAGGCGGATTGCACTGCCGATGGTTTAGGCAAGATAATCGACTTCGTAGGTACAATTTTTAATACCCTTTTCCCTTTCAAAGATATTCGTTTGTTACATTCGTGTTTTGCAGTTGACTGGTAATTTGAACTGGCAGTCGGATTATTGTAGCTTCTGTGAGAATATCGTGCATAGGTGCTATAATTTGGCCTGTTCGCGTATTGATCTTTAGATAATTATTCGTAATATTTTTGACGTTAGTTACATTATTACTTGATGGTATAAACACTATGTGACGTTTCACTATGGGAACTATTTTGTTTCCAAGTCGTACATCGCATTTGATAGAAACAGGTTTAACTGTTTTTTTATTAGTCAAATCAATAATTTGATTTGCTACCTTTGGTTCCCGAAGTTTAGACATTTAAATTCGGGACACCCTGTATAATTATATAAATTTTATTGTTTACAACACTTTCTTATATAAAATTAAAGTAAACATAATTATGAAAATATAAAACTATGAAATGAATGCAATAAAAAACAGTGGAAATATTTTTTAATTAAAAATTCAAATATTTTCGAAAAGTTTGATGCCTATTACGGCTATTACTGAATTGTTAATTTCATTTTTCTTATTTCAGAACCCATACTGCAACACAGACCTTCAAGATATCTCTAAGGGGAAATCTAAAGATATTCAGAAGACTTTCTACATCCTAATAAAGGATATCCTATTAAAGGATATCCCTCAGATAAAATGTGAGAAAATAGTAGATAAAGTATAATATAACTGTTTCCAGATTTTGCAGCGCGTAATCTACAACTTATGAATATATAAATGTTTCTTGTGTAATAAGGTGTATTGGAAGAACTATTTTTTTTATTTTATTTAATCAAAACGTTTTTAAAACAACGATTTAGATTAATACAGTAAAAATTATTAATGTATTTCAACCAATAAGATATGAAGACAGAACTGTAATAAAATTTGCAAACTGTTGATAACGATACGAGAACTCGATAAAATCGACATTTGAATGTAGTTTGCCACTCCCTTTAGCAATAAGATACACATAGTTAAAATTCTAATACACACACACATTAACAGACAAAGCCGAGAAAGTGCATTATGGCGCGTATTATATATATATATATGCTTAGTACCGAGACACTACCGTATACCCTGACTAAAGAAAACTGCGCAACAGTTTCTAACAGGCGTTGCTTAGAATAACAACCAGTGATTACTCCTTATCATTTTCTTGTAAGAGTCAAGCGATTAATCGAAGATGTCTCTCCACGTACGTAATCTTGACGAAATTCTGTGCGATCATGCTTTTCTCTCAATAGGTTAAAATTAAATTTGCAGCTTATTTAATATTTTATTTGATTTTAAAGGAGTATGAGCGACTGTACACTCCGAGTGAATGGAGCAAACGATATAATTCTGAAGAGTTGCGAGCACATTTCTTTAAATTCTGTGAGGAAGGTAAGATTTGTTTTTCTCTACAATCAAAAATTATATAATTGTAGTAGTCGTAGCTCTTTTCGAAAGCTTTATTTAATAGTAAGAAAACTAATGCAATACTGGTGCAATTTAATACAAATCGGTTTACATATTTTCATTATTAATAAATAACTTATAATCCTTTAATTAGTTATGTGTTGTCATTACAACATAGAATATGTAATTAAAAAAGATAAAGGGTTAATTAGTGTGTATCAGTATTGTATTAGTTTTATAGAAAATTGCTATAAGATTTTTCTGATCGTACTATTATTGTGGACAAGAAAGGCGTGTCAGATGTATCATGTGATCACTGAAGGTCTTTGTTGTTGCAGTTACGGAAGAGACTCGGAAAACTGTAAAATGCAAACTTAATGTACCATACGGTCCTACAGAGCGCGCAAAATACGACATATATGGTGTCGATTTACCGAAAGGTATGCATATAAACGTAACCATTTCATGGTATTTTTAGGTACCGAACTTCTGGAACAATATACCTTAATTTTCAATAAAAAATTATTTCCATAATTTTTTATTCTATATCATCATATTTTCATAATTATAGGTATTTCTAAAGCTGTGTTCCAAAATTGACTGCCAGTACTGAAAATCTATAGTGCACGTAACATAAACTGTAGCATTTTCAGTGCCGGAAGTAAATTTGGAACACAGCCTAAGAAAGAAAAAAGGAACAAAAGAAATAAACTTATAAAATTAATACTTGAAAATCTATTATTTTATTCAATTTCTCTGCGTTTTCGATAAATTACGTAAAATTTATTTACAAGGTGAAATTTTCATTTCCAAATTATATCTAGTTTGGCTTGAATCACTTATGTTCATTACATAAACATGAGTTTATATACACGCGTATAATTTGGTTCGTTTAAAACTGAAACAAAATATATGAATATCAAGCAAATTATTTTTAGCGCGAATATATTTTCTTATTCCATAATAATCTGCTCACATTCCTTTCATCAATCTGCAAGATGTTAAATTATAGATTATTTTTTAACGAATTGGTATATTTTACATTTGTATATATATCACACTAAAACAGTTGTGTATTTTAGATGCACCGATATTTATATTTATCCATGGTGGATATTGGCAAGAATTCAGTAAGGATCTCACTGGCTTCTCGGTACCTTTGTTTGTTAAAAATAAGATCAAAGTAATAACAGTTGGATACGATTTGTGTCCGAATGGTGAGAAAGTAGAAAATTCTATTGAATTATATCATTGTCTTGTCTTTCATTGGTCTTTTATCTCTCTTGTATTTAATTATTTATTAAATTACGTCTACACACACGCATAAACACGCATGCACGCACCAAAATTAAAAATTTTTTTAATTCTTTAAAGCGTGTTATAGCTAAAAGGATGAAACACGTTTATAAAATGAATTTTACAATTTCGAAACTTATGTATATAAATAATATTTGAAACTCTCAGATTAAAAGATTATCTTATTATATAATAAAATAATGTAATAAATTATTTTTAAATATTTTTCAGTCAGAATTGGAGATATAGTAGCAGAGATAAAATCAGCGGTCGCGCAGATATTACAATATGCAGCTGATTCAGGCTCTAAGTGTGTTTTTATTCTTTAACTTTCTACTCATATATTAAGTACAAAATTTTAATAGAAAACGAATTGCTTATAATGCAAATGTGTAATGTACATAGATACGTGTGCATCGTTGGACATAGTGCTGGAGCACATTTGGCTGCATGTTTATTACACGATGACGATTGGATCAATCGTATGACAAAGAAAGGATATTTTGCAATATTAAAGGAAATCGTACTGATAGGCGGAATTTATAATTTAAAACCTATAACTAATACCAGTTTTGCAGTTGCCCTTAAATTAACCGAGTAATTATATACAGAGTGTCCCTGTATACACTTGTTTTCAATATATATAACGAACATATATTTCTTATATAACAAATATACATAAATTATCGTTTTCAGCGAAGAAATTAAGAAATTTAGTATTTCTATCTTTGACGAAGCAAAAGGCCATCGTATCACTAACTTGAAAGTTATCGTAGTCGTAGGCGATTGCGATTCCCCAGCGTTTGTGGATGAATCGCGTGAATACGCCCAGGTATTTGATCAAATATTAGATGTGTCTTTTGTAGCTAAATTATACACTCCCTGTACTATAAGTGAAATGTACATGTTTCAAATTTGGTGAAAATAACAAGGAAAGTTCTGGTGCAGCAATAAAAATCAAACCTATTGTATATTGAATAACACTGCGCAAATTTGTATCAAACTAAGTATGTACCAAACTAACTTGTATTATTGTTTTAGAAACTTATTTCTATTGTGGATAATGTGGAATACCTATTACTTCAGGACATCGACCACTTTGATATAGTGGAGAAACTTCTAGATCCAAACTATCATCTTGCTAAGTTGATAATGAAGTGTCTCCAGCCGGATGTGATCCTTTGTTAAATGAATATGTAAAGTTAATGGAATTTGTTATAAGGCACTTTGTATTCAACGCAATATACAATTCAAATTTGCTAAAAAGATTTATTAAGAATTATATTATTATATCTCTTTATATATATATTTCGCTTATAAACTATAAATATTCAGTATACACATTAAATGTAAATTTAAAAACATTAATCTTGATAAACTGATCGAATCGCTGTCGCTTTTGTATAACAATGATCGAGAAGAACGGCCCTTACTATATATTTGAGTCATTTGGATTGTGTTGTCGATGAACTCACACCCGCTTGCTTGGAGACGGATTGCACTGCGGATGGCTTAGGCAAGATAATCGATTTCGTAGGTACAATTTTTAAAACCGTTTTTCCTTTCAAAGATACTTCGTTTGTTACATTCGTGTTTTGCAGTTGACTCTGACTGGTAGTTTGAGCTGGCAGTCGAATTATTGTACCTCTTGTGCGAATATCATGCACAGGTGCTATAATTTGGCCTGTTCGCGTATTTACCTTTAGATAATTATTCGTAATATTTTTGACGTTAATTATATTACTTTTTGATGGTAGAAACACTGTGTGACGTTTCACTATGGGAACTATTTTGTTTCCGAGTTGTACTGCGCACTTGGTAGCAACCGGTTTAACTGTTCCTTCATTAGTCAAATCAACAATTTCTTTAATTTGATTTGTTACCTTTGGCGCATTTTTTGGGGCAGTCTTGTCTGTTTTATATTGGTTATCCTGCCAAGTCCTGGGAGATTTAGCGAATGAACGCACTCGCAATAGAGGTTTCTTTTCCTCTTTCGGTTGCTCATTGTTTGGCATATTCTCGGTTGCTTCATCCATAACATTTTTTATTACTACTGCTGTGTTTTCCATGCGGGTTACCATAGCTACCACATCCTTCTTTGTTGCAGGATCTGTTATAACTTTGGATTCATCTTTCACTTTGGCCTCTGCTAGATCCTCTACAACATATAAAATAATGTTTATGACTCTTCTATTTTTGTTTATTTATCTTATCTATCTCCAATTTTATTAATATATGTATATACACTACTTGTGTAGTTTGATGTAGAAGTCGCTGGTAGCGAATCCTCTTGCCTTTTGTTGTCCACAACATTTTTCACATTGTTCGTGGGGTTCCTTGAAGTAATGTTGCCACTGCATGATTTATGAACCTTCTCGCTAGTAGTATCCATATTTTCCACATTGTTCCTTGGGATATTGTTGCTACTGCATGATTCATGAACCTTCTCGCTAGTAGTATCCACAACATTTTTCACATTGTTCCTTGGGATAGTGCTGCTACTGCTACATGGTTTATGAACTATCTTCTTGTTAATGGTATCCATATGTGTCACAATATTCCTTGGAATAGTACTGCTACTGCATGGTTTATCTACATCTGTCACAACATTCCTTGGAATAGTGTTACTACTGCATGGTTTATCCACATATGTCACAACATTCCTTAGAATAGTACTGCTACTGCATGGTTTATCCACATTATTTGTCACAACGTTCCTTGGAATAGTGTTGCTACTACATGGTTTGTCTATATCTGTCACAACGTTCCTTGGAATAGTACTGCTACTGCATGGTTTATCCACATTATTTGTCACAACGTTCCTTGGAATAGTGTTGCTACTGTATGATTTATCCATATCTGTCACCTTCCTTGGACTAGTATTACTACTGCACGGTTTAACTACGTCTGTCACAACATTCCTTGGAATGGTGTTGCTACATGATTTATCCAAATCTGTTGTGTTTCTTGGAATAGTGCTGCTACTGCATGGTTTGTGAACTATTTTGTCACTAATTGTGTTATTCTTATTTGATACTGTCATATTATTCTCTTTTTCAACTTTCATTTCAACTGTTTTGTTACATTTTTGTGGTGAAGTATCTGCTATGGTTTTATTTGAAATATCCATAGCACGACGTATATTTATCACATTTATATTGGATTTATTCTTTTCCACAGATAATTTATTTACTTTAACTGTTTTATTTGCGTTTTCTTCCTTTTCATTGTCCTCCTCACTTGATACAGACAGGATATCATCACTCTTATCCTCATATGTAATACTTTCTATTTCTATTTCTATTTCTTCATCTTCATCTTCATCTTCATCTTCCTCCTCTTCTTCTTCCGAAACTATTTCTTCATTATTTTGGTCTCTTAGTTCTATTTGTTTTTTTGTATATTTATCAAATACTGCAGCTAATCGTTTTTCACCCTCGGTACGATTATCAGCAAGTTTTTTCGCTAAATCTTTATCTTTTGTAGCTGGATCTTCTGAATTTTCAAGATACAAAGAAAAAGTATCCCAATAATCATTACGCCTTGAGCGTTGCAAGTATTCTCCAAGTTCTTTGAAAGCTTTCTCTGCTGCAATAACAATTAATATATATTATTATACATAAGTATAATATAATGATACATAACATATACATATAATGATTAAATACACGGTAAATATATAATACAAATAAAAATTCTTATAAACTTAAAACTACCCCTACAGCACAAAGTTGTACAAAAGTTGCAAGACTGCTGTAACATGGCAGCAACATTGCAGCAATATTGCACATTTTGCAGTGATATTGCTGCAAATTCTGTGCTATATGGATATGATACATATTTCTTACCCATTTGTTCTCGCTTTTTTGTTTTTAAACCTAAATTGCTTTTTTCATTACATCTATTGACACATTCCAAGATATCACTGTAATCAGGGAATATTAAATTATCTGTAAGACTTCCTTTTTTTTTCAACCAATTTCGTTGAGTAATTTTACAATTAATAAAATTCGTTATTGCTTGATCCACAGCAACAATCCGAGTTACATTTAAATGTTTTGGACGTAAATATGTACGTCCTGCATCACCATTTTCTCCTGTTAGCTCACAAAGTTTATCATATAGTTGTGTCATTTTCTGTTTATACCTTTCGACTTTTATATAATTACTATTATTTTCCTCGTTAAAATCAACTTCTTCTTCGTCCAGTTTCTTAATAATTGCGTCACATCTTTTCATAGCGTGTAATATTTTATTAACTTTTCTTCTTGTTTCAGGGTTCTCTTCGTTATCATCCTCACTATCATTATCTGATTCTACTGGATTAATAGGTACATTGTTCGTAGCATAGGATGTAGAAGGAACTGCATCATAGATTTCATTAATTTGTGATGTTTGAGATTTCTTTTTAGTTCTTTTTTTCATCTCATTCATCACTTCCTGTATGTGCATGTATATTTTTTTGTGGTCATTCGTAATAGCTTGGCGCTTCTCATTCAAAAATGTAACAAAATTATTTGATCTAACATAAATTGGATCTAAATTTTCATAACGTCTTTTTAACTTATCAACAATAATGGCCATTTCCGATTTATCCTGTTTTGGACATTTTTGCAGACATAAACTTATAAATAGGGGAAAAACGTCATGTGAGATATACGATATCTTTTTCTTTTCCTTCACAATCAATTGTGTCTTTACTTCCTGGTCTTGATTTGGCTGTTTATTACAATTAGATTCAACAAAATTTATTTCAGGTAAAACATCTATAGAACATGTATCAGGTTTACTTTCCACTTTGAACTTATCCTGATCAACATCTAACTTTTTCCTTTTTTCTATAGTACAAGTTATTTCTTCCTTTGTATACATTATTTTTCGTTTTAAATTCTTCTCTTCAATTTTCTCATTAACATTGAGTAAACTTTCAGTTTCTTCATGAGCAATAGCTCCGTTACTAATCTCTACAGATTTCGTTAGAACTTGGCCCGTTTTGTTTTCCTGAAATAAATTTCTTAGAATCAGCATTTTTTAGGAGATAAATTTATTAGAATTTTTTTTTAATTAATTATGTAAGCTGTCATTATTATAAAATCATATTTAAAGAGATCAATGCAGATATTTAATTAGAAAAATTTGAATAGTTACATTTTTTCTTACTTTTTTTTATTGCCCTCAGTCCCCTAGATATGAACCGATTCGGCCAATAGTACCCAGGTAGTCGAATTCAGTAAATAAAACCATAGATGTTAAAAAAAAAATATTTAGCTCAAGTCAGCTAGTCTTGCCAAAAATTTCAAAATTTATCTGCACTTAACAGCTTTACTAATTTATAGAACTCTTATAGAACTCTGTCAAACCTTTTGCGAGTCTGATTCGTCATCAGACGAAATACAGATGACTTCCATTTCCATCAGGTATCTCGGTCGAAATAGCGAATCGTGGACAAGTGCTACCGCCAAGTAAATTCGCACTCGTAGCTCAATGCCTCCCGAAATATCCCGAACTTCCTGTCAAACAGCGACATATTGATAGTAACATATACATACCGATCACGAAAAACAGTATATTCTCGATGGGTAACCATCCATAATCTATGCAAAGACGTTCTATTGAACATCTTCATTAAACCAAAAAAAACATTTGATGTTCAGTACTTCTCACAACCACGCGTAATTCGCGAAATGTTCAAGAAAAGAGTCCGTGCGCAAACACGCATTTTCGGTCTCTTGGAAATAGTAACTTTATGGAATCCATGAGCGCGCCGAACCCTATTTCCGAAAGAAGAAAGGCAGCTAGCTTTTCTACTTGCCTTGCTTCTAATTATTTCGTTGGCCTCGTAGATGATTCGTTCAGAAGATATGGATGAAAGTACATAAAAGTTCACATCTTAATGACAAGTTGCCGCTTGATAGACAGAAAATTGGTCTGAACTGGTCTTTAGTTTCCGTTTTTATGACGACAGAAATGAAAATGAAGGCTCTAAAAAGTACTTCACACTGAAAATTTACGGTACTTTTGTCCGTGCGATAACCGAATACAGAGATTGGAATATTATTAATGTCCGTAAATGCACTGTTATTGGTCACTCGTTAGGGAAATTTGATTTTCAGGAATGGTAACCATACATAAGAGAACGGGAGAAAGCTTTAGTCGTATATGACGATTGAGAAAAAAGAAGCGGCTAAAGGCCTGTTCAGCGTATGTCCTCCTACAATGACTTGCATATTACAAGAAAAGCAATATGGCGTCTTCCATATCAGGTGTATGATTGGTCAATTTCATGTCACGTGACCACGTTGCATCTAAACAAGCCTTAATCCAACAAAGAAAATTTCATAGAGTGCGCTAGTATCAATGATGTCTGTTGCACAGTTGCTGCGCAATAGCCTATTGCGCATGTATGTATATGTAAGGCACATATGTAAGGCATATATGTAATACCAAAGCTATAAAGAATGGACTGCGCGATCCGTGTGTCAAAATGGTCGATAGAGATGAGAGAGAGGGACCGTGGCAGACGATCATTTCTATCTCTTTCCATTCAATGGTGTAATGGGAGAGAGAATGAGAGGGAGATTGACCGTTTCCCACGATCCCTCTCTCTCATTATTGTCGACCACATTTGATACACTACTGAGATACGGATCGCGCAGTCCATTCTCTATGTCTTTATGTAATACTACTATATTGTTAACGCAGCCTCTTTTTGAGAATGGGGGGTGTGCCAAGAGAGTGAGATAGAAAATCAACTATATTTTGAATGCGCATGCGTGGGGGAACGTATGCGCGCGCACTCATGGCACGTGTATTGTAAAGGTTAGATATTATAAAGTATAATTAAAAGAAATACCAAGTATAATAAAATCGCGGCATTATTTCCTTTTTTTAACTAGTACTTTATATAAACTAAAAACAAACTCAACTTCACTATTGAACATGTCAGACACAATAAACGTGATAATATATGATAAAATAGGTTGGAAACAGGCTCATGCGCATTACGAAAGTACACGAATTGTAGAAGTGAGAAGCGATCGTCTACACCATAATGTTTGCTGCAGCTCTTAAGGGGATTCTAAAGACGTCTGTATTACCGACTAAACACGTATAATTTTTGTATAACGAATACTCGTTTTCTCTTTCACGGATTGTAAAATCCTTTTCCAGGATTGAAGTATACGCATTAATACATATTTGTGAAGTGGAGTCTACGCTGAGAATGATCAAAAATTTTGAAATCGATATATTTTGTACCATTTCTTAGGCCTCGTCTACAATACATGGAGTAAGAAGTAAGAGTAAGAAATTGACCAATCACAGTCGATTATTCTTCTCACATTCGACTGTGATTGGTCAATTTCTTACTCTTACTTCTTACTCCGTGTATTGTAGACGGGCCTTAACATGGCGTCTCAACTGTCAAGTCGTGACAACATTTGTTTGATATGAAAGCTTTGCAACCCGAACGTACGAAATAATAGTTCCCAAACACGTAATTTGCACGAACATACATCGTCGAGTTCTTAAGGCCCGTCTACAATACACGGAGTAAGAAGTAAGAGTAAGAAACTGATCAATCACAGTCGAATGTGAGAAGAATAATCAACTGTGATTGGTCAATTTCTTACGCTTACTTCTTACTCCGTGTATTGTAGACGGGCCTTTAGAATTAGATTTAGACGCTTTATCGCGACGAATTCGTTGTACGAAAATTGACACGTATGTGTGACTGCGTGTATCATAGCTGCGTGAGATATTGCTGTAGTAGTATAAAAAGGGGAGGGCTCCGATTGCACACATCGCATATTGCACACAGGTATCGCTGATTGGCCAATTTAAAAATAAAATAATCTCATTGGCAAAACAGTAAAAAATTACTAGGCATCAGTTGTTATGAGTGGTGTGTACAATCAGAACTGTAGGCAAATGGGATCCTCCCATAAAAAGACATATCGATGTGCGGCGCGCGGCGCGACATCTAGTGATTTCGTCGGAGTTCGAGCTTTGCTTTAGGATCCTTTAATTGTTGTTAGCAATATAGTAGTATTACATATATGATGTAAGGCTGTGTCCAGGGTATCGATTATCTAACTTTTATTATTGTGAAAATGTGAGCGATCTCACGCGTGGCACCCAGTTGGACACGGCTCAATTGGACACGAGCCACTTACAGCGCTTGAGACTACAAAGCTCCTAAGCACCGGTCGCTGTGATTGGTGGGGTCC